GCCCCTGAAGGAATGCGCCCGCCCCCGGCGCGCCCGCCGCCCCGCCGCGCCGCCCCGCGCGCCGCCGCCCCGCCCCTGCCGGTTGCGGCTCCGGCGGCCCCTGCTGCCAGCCGGCCGGCTCGGGTGGCGCGAGCGGCTGCGGCGCGCCCCAGGGGTCGGCCGGCAGGCTGGCGCCTGCAGCCTCTCGCTGCTGCTGCTGCTGCTGCTGCTGCTGGCTGGGCCAGGATGTATCAGGGCTGCCGCTGCTGTTGCTGCTGCTGCTGCTGCCGTTGGTGCTCCAGCTGAGCTCAAATACATCGTCCAGGTTGACCTCATCACTAGGCAGCTCCAACGGCTGCACCGCCAGCGGCGGCGCCCCGGCCACCGCCTGGGCGTCCTCAGGGCTGCGCTGCGGCAGCGGCTGCCCGGGGCCGGCTCCGCCCGGCGCCTCGGCGGCCGCCGGCCGCGGCGGGGGTGGGGGCGGCGCGAAGAGGCCGCCCTCTGCACGGGGCGGCGCGGGCGGGCGCAGGCGGCGGGCCCGGCGCTCTTTGGTGGAGCGCACGATGGCCGCCTGCGCAGCGCCTGCCGTACTGTCCCCCGCTGCAGCAGCCGAGGGCGCGGGCCGGGTGTTGGCGCGCGCCAGGCGGAGGGCGCCGCGTGCCGCCACGACTCCGTGCCCTACCTTCGCGCCATCTTCTTCCGCGTGTCGTCGCTGCTGCTCGCGCTGCTGGCGCAGCTGCGCCTCCTTCGCCGCCGCAGCCGCCGCCGCTGCTGCCTCTGCTGCCGCTTTTGCCGCCGCCTGCGCTGCGCGCGCCGCCTCCCGCCGCTGCTTCCTCAGGGCCAGCTGCCACTCGTTGACAGGCAGCCCGCCGGCCGGCGCCTCCGCCGCCTTTTTACCCTTGGGAGGCGCAGCAACCCGCTGGATCGCCGGCGGCCTGGAGCCCTGGCCGCCAAAGGCGCTGCCGCCGCCGCTGCCCCTGGCGCCACCCCAAGGCAGGGACGAGGTGGCGTCCCGGACAGCTGCGCTGCTGCGGGGCTGGCGTGAGGCTGGGGAAGGATGCTGCTGCTGGGCGCTGCCCGCCGCCGCTGCAGTTCCCTCCCCGGGCGGCGACGAGGCCCCGGCTGGCGCTCCTGCGCGCGTGGCAGCAGCGACGCCGCTGCTAGAGCTGCTGCGGCGGCCGCCACTGCGTCCCGACGACGGGCGCACGGCCTGCACCCGCGCTTGACCTAATCGCTGCATACATATGCCCTTTGAGCTGCATGTAACACGACTTCGCATCTCCTTGAGCGAGCCGCGCGTTGGACTGCACTAAGGCGAGTAGTGTGATCTCGCTGACAACGCGTTGGTTGGATCGAAGTCACAGCGAAGTGGTGACAATGTCATCGTTATGATAGAAGGTATGACACCTGACAGATACGATACAGGAACCGGCTTGCGGTTGCAGGTTGGTCATCGATAGGGGTGGCGGTACTGTAAGATGCAGGGCTGGGCATGGTGGCATGTGCAGACCCTGACGACCCGAGCAAGCAACCAGGGAGTTCTGCCACAAACATGCGGTTAAGGTGCGCACCTGTGCAAATGCATACCTTGTGCATGCGTGCGTGCGTGCGTGTGTGTGTGTGTGTGTCCGTGCGCGCGCGTGTGTGTGTGTGCGATTGGCACTCGGTGCCCTTGTGCTCCTGGCCCTGAGGAAGCTGGATCAGGCCGCCAGCAGAGGCGCGTACTGGCCGTGGACAAGGTTGTGGTCACCTGCAGAGCATCAGGTCACTGCAGGGCAACTGTCTGATAGCTGACAGTGAAAGTAAGGTTCTGGGTTTGAAACCTCCAGCAAGCCTCTGCATGTGTCCGTGCAGCTGATGGCGGCGATGGCGGTGACGGTGATCATGGTGGCGGTGATGGTGCACCCCTGCGCAATGAGCGCCGTTGGAGCTGACAAAAAGGCTCACAGCGCGAACAAGCGGGTCGCAGCAAAACAAGTGGGTTTAAAGCAAGCAACAGGGGTCGAATCAGCATTTCACGAGTTCAGCCAGGCGGTGCTTGTGTGGCCGTTTCTACCAGTACCATTCGACGCCGCGAGAAATACCACGTCAGCCGGTACTGCGCAGCATGAGCCGCGCCGTGTTGTGGGCCCACTGATTGGGGCATCATATTCCCACGGCATCTCACGCACCACGTGCTGTTGGGCCAGTCAGAGCGAGGCCACGCTGCCATCAACACTCGCGGACGATGATGACGGCCCAATTCCAAGGCCTGTGTTGACCGCTCATGGGAGGCAGGCGGGGCCTGCTTGCATGCATGAGGACGGTAGCTCGCACCATTTGCGATTGGCGGGCAATGTGGCGCTGCCGGCCATGCCTGCTCCGCCTGGGATGGTGCACCCCCTCCCCCGAATGCTAACCATGCCGGTGCTTTTCTCACTCGCGCACACCACCATCCCTCAGCTGGTGCGCAAACAGGCCATATGGCATAAAGGTCGCACATTCAGGACATCAAGAAACTTACTGCTCTCAACATATTAGCCCCGAAAGCTGTGATGTGCCTGTCATCACCCGTGCGCACAACTTGCGATGATCTGAGGCTGGGTCCCCATCTCGCATCGTGACTTATCGGCTTTTGCAATGCCTGCAGCCCGGCCCACCGTGCCAGGGCTCATCGAGCAGTTGAACGCGAGCGCTCCCAAGCGAGCAGCGAACAACGCGCTCCCGATCGCCAACTACTTCAGGAGCTGCGATCTACTGATCAGCCAGGTATCGCGGGCGCGCTGGGAGATACGGCAAGCGTGGAACGTCCCGAGAGCTGGGGGACCCACCTGCTCACTGTCTTCTTTGCCCCCAGGCGCATGTATACCGTAACTCTGGAAACGAGGAGCAGCTATATGTCATGCTCATGCGGTTTGCGAGGTGAGGAGCGCCGACATGGCCCTGGTGCGCGCGCCGCGCCCCGACCCGCATCTGTGTGCAAGGCTGCGCATTGCGGCGCACATCTCACCCCGCCCCGTTCGGCCGTGCCCCTGTTATCGTGCAGCCTGGTCATCGAGACCATTCCCAGGCATGCACAGTTCGCCAAGGACTCACAGCAGTATAAGCGGCTGCAAAACGTGCGTGTTGCTCAGCACCTGCATTTTGGCGGGGGGTTGGGGCAGGCGAGCGGCGGCAGCAGTTTGAGGGTTGCAGCGTCGTAGGTCGCCAACACGCGGGTCACTCAGCCGTGTGCTTGCAGCTGGTGGTTTCAGTCTGCGTCGCACTAGCCCAACACATGTGCGCACGCGTTGCAGCACCACGTCAGCAGAGGTACTCGACCTTTGCACTCGCCTCCCCCACCCACACCTAAAAACACCAAGACACACCCACACCACAAACAAAATGCGCTTGCATTTTGTACGTGAACCCCCCTTGTACTACACAGCACGTGGTGTCGGTAATGAAGGAGCTCGAACACATCAAGGCGTCCCTCCGCCTGCGAAACGTCGAGCAGCCGTCCGCGCGCACCCTCCACCGCCCGCACGACGCGTCGCTGCTGGTCACCTCCAACCTGCCGGAGATAGACTGGGGCTCTCTCTCGCCCGCCGGCTCTGCGGGCGCCGCCGGGCCGAGCGACAGCCGGTTTGGGGCGGAGGCGGCGGAGTGGCTGGCGCGGAGCGGCAGCGGGGCAGCCGCGGGGCCGAGCGGCCGCGGCGGCGCGGGCGGGTATGGCGCGGAGGCAGGGGTGGGAATCTATGGGGCGGCGCTGGGCCCCGCGGCGGCGGCTGCGGCGAGCTGGGGCTCTGCAGGCTCGAGCAGCGGCAGCTTCTCTAACAGCGGCAGCTTCACAGCTCCTGGCGGGGGCTACCAGTCAGCCTATGTGCCGGCCAGCCAACAAGCGCTCGACAAGCACTCGCTGTTTGCGCCGCGGACGCTGTCAGGGCGCTCGGCGGCGGCCGCCGCGCCGCCTGTGCGGCCGCGGTACCCCGGGTTTGATGCGACGCCAGCGGCAGTCGACCTCCTTTGGGCCCCGCAGCAGCAGCAGCAGCAGCAGCAGCAGCAGCAGCAGCAGCAGCAGCAGCAGGATGCCTCGTCGGAGCCGTCTGCACCGCCTGAGGGCGCCCTCGCGTCGCTGTCCCTCGCGGACCGCCGCGCGGGCGGCGCGGCGGCGGGCAGCCTGCTGGACGCGCCCATGGCGCCGCACCCCTCGGCGGGCCCCAGCTTGGGTCCGCAGGAGCTGGAGGTATTGAGCATGGACGCGGGGCTCGGTCACCCAGGGGGCACGTGCGCGCAGGGGCCGGGTCAGCAGCAGCAGCAGCAGCAGCTAGCGGTGCAGCAGGGGGGCGTTCGGCCGCTGGAGAAGCGGCAGGAGATGCGGGACGTCCACATCAGCGTGGCGCTGATGAACGACTTCCTGCACTACGCCAGCAGCAACACGCGGAGGTGCGTGCGGACAGGGGGATGAGGGGGGGTCCTCAGCGGCGCGGGGTCGCGCCGTCGGCAAGGGTGTTACTGTGGGTGTGCATGCATGCGTCTGCGTGAGGAAAGGGATGGCAGGGTGGTGGTGCACTGTAGGGGTCCTTGTGCTTCAAGTCTGGGTCGTGCCCGTTCAGGAACAGGGCAGGGCATTTGGCGCCGGCTTGCACCTTACCTACGCACGCACCTTGTGCGGACGCCCGCCGTGCCCACCCTCCCCTCGTCTCGCGCAACAACCAGGGGTATCGAGTCGTGCGGCATCCTGGCGGGCACACTGTCTGCGGGCGACAGCGTGTTCCGCGTGACCACGCTTATTATCCCCAAGCAGGAGGGCACCAGCGACACGGTGTCCGCGCTCAACGAGGAGGAGATATACGAGGCACAGTTCAGCAGGTGGGCGGTGACGTCACTGTGATGTCATGGGGGACTTTTGGGGGGGATGTGCTGACTGGTCTGTTTGTGGGCGCACGCTTCGTGCGAGCGTGCGAAGGTTGTGGGGGGGTGGCTTGGTCCTTTGAGGAATGCCTGGGGGTTGGGGGCAAGAGAGCGTCTGGGTTGCTGCGCGACAGGTACATCATCACGCAGAGAGTGGACAGCGCCTGTGGATGGTGAGGCATACGGCCACGCGCTGCCCGGAGCGCCCTTGCCGGCCCCCTGGCTGCTCGCTCGGCCGTCCTTGATGCCCTGCGCCCTGTGGCCCCCTCTACCCCCCAAAGGGAGCTCTACCCCCTGGGCTGGATCCACACGCACCCGACACAGACCTGCTTCCTGTCAAGCGTGGATGTACACACACAGGTGGGGATGAACTTTGGTCTGGGGGCTGGGAGGGAGGGGGTTTGGCTTGGTAGGCTTTGCCGCTGCATGAGGGATGCTACGGCTGCCCTCTGGGCGGCGGCCCTTACAAACAGCACTCATGCCAACTCATTATCGCCCTTTCTTGCGCTCGCCCTCACCAAAATCTCTCCCTCCCATCCATCCCAACCCACACCCATCCTTCCTCTCATCTGCAGTTCTCATGTCCCATACCCTGCCCTCACACTCACCCTCTCACACTCCCCAACCCTCCCCCCACCCTCGCACGCGCACACCCTAAC